GGGGTTCAAGTATTTTTTCTTGAATTTCAGTAGTATTAAGAAAACTTAAAAAAAAAATTCCTCTCTCTTCAAATTCAAGAAAAAATACTTGAACCCCCCTGTTTTGGTGTTACTATACGGATGATGATACTACTACGATCATGTTAATGCACGTCGTATAATCACATTTTTAAACTATTTTAACATAGAAATACTTCATGCCTGCCAAACACGTGATAAAATTAGGCCACAAAAGGTTTCAAACGAACACGTATTTCCACTACGTATTGATATGACGTATTTTGATACGTACTCAAGTATGTAACGAAACTACGTGATTATTTTCAATTGGAACACGAGTCGTTCTTACACATTTTACAGAGCGTTAAATTTTTTTTGGTCACGTAGGACTCCAATACTTAAAACGATATAAAAGCTGGGCACCTACCCGTAAAGAGTTAGTGTTGTACAGTTGATCAGCAGGTAGTTAGACGACATCAAAAGAGCCTCTACCCTTGGATCGACCACCACCTCCAGTAACTTTTTTTTCAATCATTTACAACCCATTGCTTCGCCGTCACAGGACACCACAGATACACTCGCACGCACGCACACACACACACACACACACACAAATGTCTCGGTGGTAGATCAAACATAAAAAAGAGTAAGTGCACAGATAAAATAAGAATTAAGTCAAAAATACAGAAATGTACGTCAACTCGAGTTCTGGAAAACGAACCAAGACGAGGTATTTTTAAATCACACACTTTCTCCTCCATTGATTGTTCTGGTTTCCCTGGGACGATCCTCGCACAGATTCCTAAAACAGGTGGCCTTACGCTGTTTTCAGGGAGTCTGATTCTTTTTTTCAAGAAAAAATTAGGCACCTATGTGAGAGGAACAGTAGGCTAACACCTGTCCCTGCTCCATTAAAATCATAAGAACAGAAACACGTTCCGGCCATTGGACGTTAATTCGTTAAGGCCCAAAGTTTTGAGAAAATTAACCCTGTGGCGCTCCAACGTAACAGGAGTTAATTTTTGGAAGCCCAGTCGAGCTACGGAACGCTTGTTTTTTTCTTTAAGTTTAATCAGCTTAGCGCTTACACTTGGGACGTGAAAACACCCCTCTCCCTTTTTTTTACTTTCCTGTGTTCAAAGTCTCTCTAATAATTGCAGTTAAAAAAATATACATATATATCATTGCCCTTGAGTACATCCATTCCGCTTGAGTTTATAAAAAACCGTTATCGTGACTCAGAAGCTAGTCACCGTTCTTGTAGCACACTCGCCATTTCGAGAGTTCTGAAAGCACCCACGACTTGGAATAAAATCACTGCCTCTGGAAACTTCGCACAAGTTTGAGGTTCATTAAAATTTTTTTTAATAAAACCCAGTCAAACTAAACTAAAAAGTTAATGCAACAATCAATAAGTCGAGAATTTTTGAAAGAAAAACGAGAATTGAACAATTAGTTGTGAACGAAACTCGCTCTAATCAAATTAAATCCCTTTCTCTTTTTCTCCTTGTCTCAAGGACGTGAATAAATTAAAATTTGAAAAAAAAGGAAAAAAGAAAATTCTGTTAACAAAGTTACAATAATCGTGAATCATCAAGGTCCAAAAAAAATCCTACAGTTGTGCCACTAGCCAAACATTCTATTGACCCTTATAAATCACAAACCAAGCCAGTTTTTACGTATTTGAGTTTATAAAGAAGGATGATATAATCGTAGAATTTTTTTCATTATCACTTATATATATATATATATTTTTTTTTTTTCATTTGTTTCTTTTTCTCTTGCCAGCGGATTCCTACTACGGTTACTAGACAAAAAGTCAGCCAGAACTAGAGAAGTTCCGAAAACAAAAAAAGAAGGAACAAAAGCAGAGACGTCTTAATAGGATTCTTAAAGTAAAGTATGCTGAAGCTATATCCTCCTACTTGCAGAAAACTCGAGGAGCGACCATTGTGTCCACTCGACGATTTTGAAGATCTTCCTCCAGACACAAAATTGAAACTATTCAAGGACAGCCTAGATGACACATGCCTCAGGAAGGGGTTATTAAAGATCTGTACTACATGATGTAAAAAGAACTATAAGATTCTGAAGATAACCGCAGAATAAGGGAACCATTACATAACTACAAAAAAAAAAAAGAAGGTAAATTTAAGAAAATGCGATTACATTAATACTGTAATAATAAAACTGTTAAGCTGTTTTTCATTCATATGCCCAAAACGCGTAGTCAAGCACTTAAATTAGGTGAAAATGCAATAGACATACTAGATTATATCAAGCCCAGCCACTCCGTAATCAAAACTCCACCAGTAGTTGAGTCAAAGGATCCCACTCCCGATCTTGCCCGAAATATTTAAATCAGTCCTTCTGAGGTATCAGAAGAAGTCGAAAAAAGCAAGAAGTAATCATCGGGAACGAAAATGAAAAAACCCTAACTAGGTTTTTACGCGTAAAGCTCCAAAATAAAGCTCGAAAAAGTATAATAGGAAAAATTTTCACGACCTAAAAGAACATTTAAAAAACTACTATTGCCCTGCAGTACTAGTGAACCGAACATCTTTTAGGAGATCTTGAACGTGAGTATCAAAGAGAAAAAGAAACTATGGTAGCGTATGCTAACAGGATACACGATATCGCAGGAAGAATTTTAGAAGCAAATTTTGAGGTAACAGGTGTCGCCAGTACTGAAACTTATAAAAAAAATATCAAAGAAATAGCTGAAAACTGCATCAAGAGAGGATTCAAGCCAGAAACTCTAACATACCTTTTAAGAAATACAGATTCCACTGGCATCGTAAAAGACGCAGTTGCTACCAAGAAAGAACTTGACGCTTTTTCATTGCGTCAACCTACACACCAGGAGTCCTGAGAAAAGTGTTAAATCTATTCGCGAGTAGGTCATACGGCCAGTCACTGCACCTCAAGCAACATTAACGCATGTAATTATTGTAATAAAAACAGTCATACATCTGAAGCATGCTACAAAAAAACAGAGATATTCAGAAATGCCAAATCTGTGGTAAATCAGGACACTCAGCTACTCACTGTATATCACAGCAAGCTTGCTAGCTTTGTAATAAAGCAGGCCAACACGAAACATGTAGGTCTATAGTCGCAAAATCAAAACCCACTTTGACCATTAAGTGCCATCTATGCGACCAAATCGAACACGATGCAAAAAGCTGCTCGCAAAGTGATAACCCCAAATGAACTAAGGAATTAATATGCTGGCTTTGCAACAAACCGGGATGTATGGCAGTCGTCTACCTCTTACAGACTCAGTCTGTAAAATTTAACGAATCACAGAAAGTATGTAGATACTGTAAGAAAAGTGGCCATGTTATCCAAGAATGCACTAAAAGTCAATTTTTCCAAAGTCAGAATCAGGAAAACGAAAAATCTCTCTCGGCACTGGGTGTACCAAGAGGATCGCAAACTCAAACGCACCTCTCAAACAAAGCAGTATCAAGAAACAGCTTCTTTCTCGGCACTGTTGGAACAAACCCAACTATAAAAGAATACATCCGTTACATCAACATCGCCTTACAGGTGGGACATGACTCCCTCGCGAGCTTCGCTCACTCGCTCTCGTTGTAAAAAAATAACTAAATCCTACGAAGTACCGATAGTAGAGTAGCCAACCACATATATGTGTAGAATTAATAATAAAAAAAAATATTGCGCATGGGATGCTTGGCAGGCAACTCCTTCGTGATGCATCTTGGTAATTCTGATAGCTTGCATAATAGTTAATAGTATATTACGTACGAGTTTGCAAAGGCTTTGATTTACGAATCGAGAAGTTTACGGAATGAGGCGAAGGCGAGGGCCGTAAGGTACTTAAATGTCCCTATTGATGAAATATGAAAATTCATGTATTTGTTATACAACTTACTTGATAGAAAAATTGTGATAGTTGTATATTTTATGTATCTTTATGAATTCACAAGAAAAATTTCATTTTACATACAGTAAATGACCAATTTTAATGATAATTCCATAAATAGGGGCAAAGTAGCATATAACCTATCTTTTGAACTGTATGTATTATGGCATCAAACTTCAACAAGGAATGTATATACTTTTAGTATCAAAATTGTTGTAGTAAATTTATTTAGTACAATTAATCAATTTGTATATGTTAATAAGTAAATGGATGTGTATATTACTATTATATTACTATGTAATGTTATATTGAATGTATGCGTATAAGCATGTAAGCTTTTAGAGAGAGAGCTCTATTTATAACTCAGTCGTTCAACGAACGTTGCCGTGCTAAGACGTGTCGTCAGTGATCTGCTGTACGTGTGTGTGTGTGTGTAGACGTACACCTCATACCGCTTTTTGCGTACTAGCCCTGTATATAAGTATATTGAATAAAGTTAACTCTCCTGTATTCCTTAAGCCTCTACCTTTTTTTTCTTCACCGGCCCTGGACTTCCTACTTTGCTGAAATATATAACTATACAAATAAACGATATAATTACTTTTATTAAACAAAATAGTGTTATGCAAGTGAAAAAACTTTAATTGTTTTTAAATATTATACTAAATTTACGTTTTTTTAAAAGTTTTATAAATAGGGACATAATATGAAACAATAGGTACAACGTTTCATAATTATGTACATTTTGGTCTTATAATCTTTTTATAAAATAAAGTATTTTAACAATTAAAAACCATATTTAAAAATTAGAATAATAATGGTAAATTTATAGCGCACCAGCTTATACCAAAATTTCTACTGTTGAAGCTAACAGTTAAGAAAAAAGAATCCAAGAAGCAAGTATGATGAAATTTATGGTCATAATAGGGACATTTACCTTAACGACGTCCGTAAATAAGCCTTTTCGAACGAGTTTCGTATACTATTTTTCTACCTGAGAACCCAAAATTAAGCGGTGAAGGTGCTATTTTGAGGTTAGAAGGCGGAAAAAATTATTATATTTAAGTAGTTTATTTTGATATTTTTTACAATTAAAGTTATATTTTCTGCATCTTAATGTAAAACTCGATTTTCGTACTTTTGAGTTTAATATCTCGAAAACGCATCAAGATTTTTGATATTTTTCCCATGATCCTTGATAAGATTTTTATCGAAAACCACACTTACTTTTTTTCGCCACAGGAATTGTAGAATCTCCCAGTTAGGAACCTTAGAACAATTGTTGAAACTACTTCTACGCAAAATTATATGTACCTTATTCACAAAAAAAGACTATGAAACTCGCTTTCAAGTGATTTTATTAGTGCTCAAAACATATTCGTATTTAAGAGACGTTTATTGGAATTTTTTAGGTAGTAGCAGGTGTCTCCTTGTGGTGCTGCTTATTGATGATAATTCAGGCTTTGCTTTAAAGAGCATTTAACATAATTTGAAAAAAGGAAACTGCCTGTTGATTCTTTACTAAACTAATGAATAAATAAGTACTGTATTGTTGCACAAAAAGAAAAAGCTTATTACAAATTTTGTATTGGGTGTTCATACATCTTGGGTCAACTAAAAACATGCTTAAAAAAAGCATATTTGGGAAAAATTTGCAGTTTTTCAATCTTCACGAAAATTACTACTTCATAAGAATCACTGCGCAAATGATTTTGCTCTCTGGGGGTTCATTTTCTTTGTTATTGTAATGCTCACGTTTGTTGTACTGAACTTGTTTTTATAGAAGCTAAAATTTACGCTCCAGACACGAAAATCTGATTCTTACTACTTAAAAAATTTTTTTTGACACTTTTTCGCTGACAAGGCGAAATTATTTAGTTAAATTTTAGTGCAATCAATTACTGATAGTTTAATCTTCAATAAAAATGTTGTTCGCTTCAATAGAGATTTATGGACTTAAAAACTAATTCTATCTAACTCAACAGCTAATTCTTAGCAACGGTATGCGATTTGCTCATCTGCATTTTGTTTACTACATTTATTAAGTGTAATGTGAGCAGTCAACCACTAGTAACCAAATATTTTCTATGTTTTCTGGTATATAGACACAGGAATAGTATAAAATATTAAAAGGAAAAGTGTAAATTGTTAAAATATATCATACTACATTTTCATGAAAACCCATACAAAATTCTTTTCATGCCTCATGTACCTTCATCAAAACCTTGCGTGCAAAAATACTACCTGAGCTCAGATTTTTTACTTTTAAACTGCGGGCATTTGAAATCAAAAAATTATAAAGTACTTAGTGTCGAGTGTCTAATGGTCCAATTCATCATCATAACTTCTGACATTAACTCAAAATACATTTTTGTTTGATATTTTTTCAACACTGACCAACACTCGAACTCCTCGTTTTTATTCCATGCCATCTGGAGGTTTTCTTTGCACCTTTCCTTTTCCAACTTCTGACCAATTCGTACTGAGTACTGTGCCACCAGATTCTTGCTAAGTAATATGATGGTTAAGAATTAGAATGTTACAAAAAACAAGTAGTATTTTTAAGATGAGAAAATTTTTATTTACAAATGATTTATTCATAGCACGTCTGACATCATCTGAACCTTTTCCATAAATTTGTTGAAAAAGAGCGTTTAATGCATCTTCACCATCTGATTTCTCTTCAGCTTCTTGTTTATCAATTTCTCTCTCAAACTCATCCCAATCTTTAGAATTTTTACAAGAACTTGGGTATTTTGTAGACTGCTGTTTAACTGTAGGTAAATTTACAGTAATATAGTTGTTGGTACAAAAAATTCTATATTAAAAAACAAGTTATTTTGAACGAATTGTAAGTCAAGTCATACCTGTAGATAACAATTGTGTTTTTAATTGAGAGTAAGTACCTTCTAAAACTGCCCACATCATACAAACTTGCTTTTTAAGTTTAATTTCTATTGTGGACCGTGTAACTTTATAAGAGCATTGCTCAGGTACAACAGAATGCTGCAATTCTACTTTTAAATTGTAATATTCATTACTAGGTAGTTTAGCGGTAACATTTAGCTGAAAAAGAAATTTTTTAATAAACGACGTTTCTATGTAGAAAATGTATATTGTATACATAAAAAACACGCCTAAAAATAAATCTGCAACAATTATCATAAAGCATATCAAAAAAGTACTACTTCTTCACATGTAAAATTAAAAAAAAAAAATTACTTGAGAAAAATTATAGGAAAAAAAATCTGAAAACATATGATTAACAATATTCCTTACACTTTTGCTTGTGGTAAAGTTAACAATTCTATTAGATGACTGATACGCAAATAAATTATTTACTTCTTTGAAACAGACATTAAACGCGATTGTTCTATTATTTGGACAACTGTTTTCATATCATGATCAACTATCATGACTTTCTTACACGAGTGAAAAAAGATAATTTATTTAAGAGTATCCTTACATTTCTAGTGACATAATTTTCTACAGTATAACTAATGCTTACAAATCCACATTAATATTTTCTACGAAAAAATATGCTGTTCAAAGTTTCTACTTTTTACTTCATAGTTAGTATGAGTGACGAATTTCCTATACAGAGGATATTGATTTAAATAAAATATAATATGAAAGAAGTTACTCACACTTTTTTCAGAATAAGTAACCGTAATATCATCCGTATTTTTAGCCAAAACTATGACATAAACAAATGCTTCTGTTTGATACCAATCATATCTTACTTTTGAAACAATTATCTGAAATAAAAAATCAAAACACCTATCAACGAACTAAAGTTACAAAAGTTTTGTATGCATGCACGTTGCAGGAAAAATCTTACCGACTCTTTTTCCATGACAATAAGAGTGGGGATCAATAATAATATTCAAGGATATATACTCAATAATCTAAACTGTTTCTCTTTTTTTAATTATATTTTCGATTTATTGTCTACAATGAGTTTTCAGATTTTATCCAAAGAAATTAGATTTGTACGGCCCATCGACATGTAATAAATTTAATATAGGCTCCGTGCACATGCGGTGGGTCGAGGGCATAGACAGAGAATAGTAGGGAGATTGCTGACTGCCATGCTACGGAGTGTGCCCACTTTTTTCCAGTGGTTCGAGCGCCCCGCCACGGCCAAGCGGCCGAACCAGGTGCACATTTTTTTTTTATTTGAGCAGCACGGTAGGGGTATGAGAATAGTGGATTCGCGTGACAATGTCCATATAGGCGCACATTTTTGAGACACGTGGAAGGGGTATACCGAATGTGCGCCTACGAGGAGAGGAGTGGAAATGTCGGCTATACAGCTGTATATATCTAAACGCACAGCCAAAGCAAACGACGATACGAGTTTTTCTTTTTTGAGAGTCTTTGGACTCTGCAACTGAGTACATGCTATATGTATATATTTAACTGACTTGCTCTCGCTCTGGCTTCAATGTTATCCATAAATCTTATTTAATTAAATCGTGGAACTAAATGCTCATTAATTATATACACAGAATTTTGATTTCAATACATTATGTTTTAACTCTCCCGTACTCTTAAAATTCCCAAATCCATTTATGTTTTCAAAAAATTAACCATTAATTTATTAATTTCACACATCCTAACTTCTGTAAACTGTAGGACAAGCTCCGGAGGATATCCATGAACATATGTGACTTCGAAAGA